AACTCCCAAGTATTATTTTGCATTATAGAATTTATACCTCTATTGATAGCTTCTTTACAATGCAGTGCTTCCAATGTAGACATTACTTCATCGAAAATCTTTGGATTATTCTATACCATATATGTTAGAAAATATGTGCCAGATGAAGTAGATATTCTAGCTCTTTTACCACGCCTTGATTATTCCTTATTTGAAGTGTCATTTGTAGTATCAAAAGTTCTTTTATTTGAACTTACATTTTTCTTGTATTTACATGGAAAAACATTCTTGAAGAATGATTCATTTCTCGATTCAATTATGATTCCTTCGTGTACATCTTGAATTTCATATTTACGTACAAGGAAAAGATATGCACTACTATTATTGGTGTATCCAATAAATATGCAATCAATCGTCTTAGGACCAATTTTCATTTGTTTGGGCTTATGTACTTCAACTTTAACCAAACACCCACACTTTCAAGTGTTGGTAGAAAAGAGGATGACATTTCCATAGTTCATATGAATTTTCTTCCATTTTCTTAAGGGGTATCTTATAAAAATGCTATTTACAGATAGAATAGCTTTTCCCTACAAGTTCTGGGGTACACCTGAACTTATCAATATGGCGTTCATCATCTCTTTAAGAGTTCAATTTTTGCATTCAGTAACACCATTAAATTATGGTAACTAAGGTGCCGTTGTTTGATAAACGATCCATACTTGGAACAATATTTTTCAAGCGGTGTCCTGTATTCACCACATTTATTACTACGAATTCTTTTTATTCGTTTACCAAGTTGATTCTCAACTTCCGTCTTATAATGTTTAAATACATTTAAGGCTTCGTCTTTACTTTGTAGTAGAAAGACATAACAATACTTTATACAATTATCAATGAAAGTTGTAAAGTATTTCTTACCACCTTGAGTTTGAACGAATTTCAAATCTCACATATCGCTATATATTAACTCTAAATGTGTCGTGTTCCTTTAAATTGAGTGAAAATGTGTTTTGATCAACTTTACTTCAACACATACTTCACATTTATGATTAGAATCAATCTTAAGCGTTGAAATTAAACTTTAATTCATAAGTTTGCACATAGATTTGTAATTAATAAGTCATAATCTACTATGCCATAAACAAGACAACTCAAGCATATAAACATAATTGAAATTTTAATTCATAATTCTTTTTGATGAAATAGTGAGGACGTTCATTTTGAACATTCATTCACTAAGATAATACATATCGTTTTTGGTAAGTACGAACTTGTCCAACACAAATACAAGTTTAAAGTCATTTTTGCTAAGTAGAGACCCCAAAACTAGGTTGTTACAAATGTCGACACATGGAGGACATTATTGAGGACTAGTTCTTTCCTGGAAGTCATTTTCAATGTGATCTTTCCAAGTCTTTCAACCTTTGAACTTGCAGAGTTTTCCATGAACGGTTGGTTGGTCTCCTTTCAATTCATGATAGTTTGAGAACATGATCTTATCTGTACAAATATGACGGGTAGCACTAGTGTAGACCTACCAATCCCTTGAATTACTAACCATGTTTCATTCAGAAACAACCGTAGATAGACTCCTTTCTTGAACTCCTTCAGAAATGATGTTTCTTTCAACTACATTTGCTCGTGCAGTCTTTTTCAACTTTCAACATTCGTTTGAACGATGTCTGACTTTCCACAATTGTAACAGTTGCCTTTAAATTTCTTGGCATTCTTGGAGTCGTATCTTCTTGGTGCAACACTGGCTTCTTGTTGATGACCTTTGAACTAGTTTCAACATGATTTGCTCCAAGTTGAACAATAGATTTTTTTTCGATGTTTCTATTGTCTTCTTCAATCCTCAAACGGACTATCAATTCCTTCAAGTTCATATCCTTGCATTTGTGTTTGAGATATTTCTTGAAATCTCTCCACATAGGAGGAAGTTTCTCAATGGTGGCTGAAACTTGGAAGGATTCACCTAATTCCATCTTTCTGCATATAAGTCATGAAATAGAACTTGAAGTTCCCGCAATTAAATTATCATGGTTTTAGAGTCTGCCACTTGTAGTTCAAAAACTTACCGATAATGAACTTCTTTGTTCCAACATCATTGGTCTTGTACTTCTTCTCCAATGAATCTCATAGATTTTTGGCCGAGTCTATCAAATTATACACTTTATAAAGTGTATTGTCCAATCCATTTAGGTTGTAATTTTTGCAAAGGAAATTCGAGCATTTCCAGGCATCCAATACAATAATTGACTCACAATTATTTTCTCCATCTTGTACTGCAGGAGCGATTTATTTTAAAAATTTTGTCAAATTCAAAATAGTAAGATAGAACATCTTTTGAAATCCACACCTCCAAAATTTTTCGATTTTTCCGCATGTGGGATATGAGAGTTTGGTATATGTATACCCAAATGTGGAACCACATAGTTCATACCATTAGTTTTTTTACTCGAAATAATCTCAACAATGTTCATTTTTGTTACAAATAGAAGTTCAATGCACAAAATGAAAGAAATGAATAGTACACGAAGATTTATTCAAAAGATGAAGAGAAGTGATTTGTCCAACAACCACAAACAAAATTTTGTCTTAAAATTGTTGTAACTATTGTATGGTTAAATGGTTGTTTGTTTAAATGGCAAAGTAATAGTTATATTTAATTCATAGGAGTGTACTTAAACTTTAGAAGCGAAAAGAAAAAAAGAAATGAAGAGAAAGTGAAGGAAAAGAAATCCAAGGCAAGTGATTAACACTTTCTCCTTAAGACAAAATTGTCCGTTAACGGTGCTAATGGATTACGATACTTGTTTCCCGAAATACAACTGATATAACTTGTGGTAGAAGCACTTCAAACAAAGAGTAACAGCGAACTCAAACAATCTTTCTTTTCTCTACAAAAAATAATTTTGGAATGATTTTTGAAGAGTTTTTGCAAGAGTGCTCAATGCAAATGATATGTGATGCATAATGGACATCCAAAATGCCCTATTTATATAAAAAAAGGAGGTTGTGAGTGAAGTGTCACGCCTCAAACTCAACATCTTTTGAGAAGGGGAGCATCCCTCGCTGTCGTCGGCCTCTCGCTCGAGCGACTGTCTTACATTTTCAACAGAAACTTTATTGCCCACCGTTGCTCGAGCTATAGGCGAGCGATGGAGTTAGACAAATTTTCGACTAGTTTTTCCTCTTTTCTTTCCAACTTTGGGTTGCAATTTCTCATTTATTCAGAATTAGTTTTGAAATTCCAAATATAACACGATGATTTACTCGACGAGTAGAACAAGTTAGTCTATTTATATTTATAATTTGGCTATCGGATCAAATACGAATATTTGGCCGAAATTGATACAAAGTCAATTTTCATGTTTTATACTTAACCAATATTTTCAGTCTTTAAACCAAATTCAAACATTTATGACTATCCATTTGTTTCATTTGGGGCTCAAAATCGTTGATTTCAATCTTCTTGGTTCACAAAAATTTCATGGCTTGAGTTTTCAGAATTGGAAGAGACTTAACCGTGACAACAAATGTCCACTGAAAACGCATGAAGGAGATGGTAATTCATCACATGGAGTTGTGCAAAAGTTGAAGGATTTGAAAAACCCAAGTCAACATATACATTCTTCAAAAAAAATGTGATCACAACCAAAGTCATTTTAAAGCAAGACAAGATATTTTCAAATTTCGATATTGTCGAATATTCAAAGCTGACCCAAGACTCTAATCCGTTGCATTTTGATCTTGAGCATGCCAAAATGCTGGTTTTGCTGATCTTCCAGTACCCGAAATGCTTGTGGCTTCTTTGGTTCCTCAAATCATTGCTTCCCATATTGTAAGTAGTCTTCTGTTCTTTCTCTGTCATCCTGAATTAGTATTTGTTCATTTCACGTAATGGTAAGTCCAATGGATTCTGTCGCCAGGGGCTGTGTATGTGAAGCAAACTTTGGAGTTCGAGTCACCAGTGTATTCTATGGAGGAGATAGGGGTGTCAAAAGGGCCAAATAGCTCGTCTGCTCAACTCATCAAAGCTTGGCCCATGGACGGTTCGGGCTCCTTTTGGGACGAGCATGAGCCCAAGCCGAGCCGGGGGTCGTTAAGCTCCCGAACGACCCACGAGCCTAAAGTTCAAGCTCGTGGGCTCGTAAAAAATGTGGAGAAAAAATTAAAGAAAATGCGAGCTCGTGAGCTCACGAGCCGAGCCGAGCTCATGGGTAGATGGGCCGAGCCCACTAGGAGTAGATCATTGGGGAAGTATAGGCAATCATTCTTAGACACAGAGAAGAGAAATATATATTTGTACTTTATCTACTTCCCTTGTCATACTAAAGTTTTACATCTTATTCAGGTGTTAAAAATTGATTCATTGGCATTTTGTTCATGCTTTTTCTGGGTGAAATTCACTACAAAATGCTTCGAAGATGGAGGAATTCTTGTGATTGATGGTGAGTCTACAACAATATTTCCGACTCTGGCCACAAAACAAACTTGAGGAACTCTGCGACGTTGAACAACTAGACTGATTTAAACAAGGACTCATTCAAGACTCGAGCTGATTTTTTTTGGATCAATTACTATAGTTTCCAATATGTTCTCCTTGTCATTGGGTCCTCAATGGACAGATTGCATCAACACAATTTTTCAGGATAAAATGGATGAAAACTTATCATAGGCTAGCCTGTGCCGCAAAAAAATTATACACAATCTTGAAAATTTTGCATTGATCAGAAGTTTCTAAATGTATTTGGTTTTGGATTAAAAAAAAATGTTATTAGTTATATTCACTTGCTACACAAGAATTAAATTATTCAGAATAAAATGGGATCCAATTGTATCAGCAGGGAAAACAATTGAGAGCAGCAGCAGAGAAAAACTTGCAGGTGTTGCATGGCTTCCATCCTCAAAAATCTGTTGTTGAGATATAAAACATAAATGTTAAATGAAAATAGATCCAGACGCTACAGAAATAAATTGGTTGCACATGATCAATATAAATATATAATGACTTATTACCATTCTGCCAAATTGTAATCGTCCGGTGGTTCCAAATGCACATCTGGAGTAACCAGCCACCTCTTCTTCTTCGTCGTCTTCAATGTCGGACAATCTGAGTAATAATGTAACACGTAAAAGCAATGTTTTAATTCAGAGATAAGAACTAATTGTAAGGGCTTAATCTTTAGTTGTTCTCAGATGAATTTGGAAATAATTATGAAACCCAACCATCAAGAAACTTTCGTCTATCATGAAAGGGTTCATCTTATGCAGTAAAAAGTTCTTCGAAGAAATCATAATGCCAGTTGCCAGATGAGGAAGCTGCAAATGTGGATCTATAAATACAATATTGCAAGTGATCTAAATCTCACGTGATGGGGATAAGGAGCAAAACATAGGGGATAGAAAGACGTGCTCAACCTCGTAGTTTCATGTCTTCTGTTAAATATTTATTCTAATCTTGGTGTTGAAATGAGAGAATAATTCCATAATGAGTTTAAGCAAGTAGTATTTTGCAGGAAATTATTTGATTGGCGAACTTGATATTACCTCCTTCAGGATATATTGAGTTGTAATGAACCTCAGCCCAAAAGCTCAAGAAAATAACTGCATGTCAATATAAATTAAATGGGATACCGTACAAGTTTAATTCAACAAAATGGGGACAAGAAAATGAATTAAAAGATAATTGCAAGTTTCTTTCTGTAGGCTTTGTTGTTAAGACGAAGAGAAAGATGGAAGCTGGTAAAGAAGAAGATAATGCTACAAATATGTTTGGAATACCCTCAAAGCAAATAAGAATAGCAGAAAACTGTGTTAAAGAAACAAGAAATGACATGCTTTGATCAATCAAAAATCAACTCCATCCATTTTAAAGTACTAGATAATGAAGTTCATGAAAAAGTACCTCGTTCAGACTTTTGAATGTTTGGAAGTATCTCAATGTAACAGGTATCCTCGAATGATGTTATGACAAGTATTTTTACACCATACTGCAGCAAGTCATTAGTAATCATCAGACAGCAAGAATTTGCTTCCTCAAAATATCCAAGTGGCTAAAGTCAAAACATTGCGAATCATTAAATAAAGATGTTGATTTGTGTAATGTCAATTTTGGATTCATTTCTAGATGATGAACTTAACTCATACACATTTATCAACAAACATGGCAAATCCACTTGCACTTTTCATCTTCTTAATGGGGTGGGAGGATAGCTATTATGCGCACAAGTTTCTACGACCTACTCTGTTTTTAACCAAACTTTTGCTTAATTTTCAACTCTTGATAAAGCACATCAAAGGACCCACTTTTTCTCAGCAGGGAATAATCAAGTCTTATATGGGCCAACATCAGCAAGTGGGACCAGTGGGGGCCCAACAGTCAGTACGCCGTGCAACATGAGCCAAATTGTTTTTGTCCTTGTGGACTTTGACATCCCAAGAAAATTAATGAAACTTTCTACCAAATATCATATCATTAGTAGGTCTAACAATAGCCTTCCATCGAGCACTGCAAATCAACAATACAGTCAAATGTTGCTCATTACTTATTTCAAATATATTTCATTCCTTATCCTTCCCATCTCTGACCTTGAGAGCAGGTTTATAATATGAGGTCAATCATGTATATTTTAAGGATTAGCATAATGCACCATGTGAAAGCAGAAAAGAAACAAGTATCACAATAACAAATGGACTGCAAAATACTGAGCTATAATTTGAGGTTCAGTCAAACGAGCAAAATTGGTAAAAACGGAAGCTAAGAAAACTATCACAGTCATGAAACAAGACCAAAGCAGACAAGGAAATCATACCGAATCTGCAGCAGCCTGCAAAGTAACATGATCACCCCATTCGCCACTCCTAATTTCCATCCAAATCATGTTTAAATTACAGTAAAATAGACAGCCAGTAACCATCAGACAACGAGAGTAAAGACTTACTTGGACATCTTTTTCAAATATTGCTCGTAAGCCATTGGTACGTATCCTTCATATATCTCTGGGCAAGACTTGAGCTGAAATCCAAATTGTTGCCAAGCAATAAATATCAATCAGAAATTAAGCAAAATTAAGAAGAATGTGCACTCAAGGGAAGTGCCTACCTGATTTACAACTTGTTGTCGAACAAACTTGTGATGCTCAGGAGTACGATAAATTTGATCTGATAGAGCTCTAAACTGGAAAGAAACACATTTCCAATCAGAATTCTTAGTAAGTTATTCATTTCTTGTAAGTTAACAAGGGGACATAATGCCTCGTGCAAGTGAAACTTCTAGCTTTTGAACACATAATGTAAAAAGGTACTCGTGGAATATTTCTTATCAATTCTTTATTATTTTTTGGTCAAAATCTATTCTTTATTTTTGTAAATACTACTGAACATTAGAAAGTAACTTTTCTAAAGTCAGAAGACAAAAATATATTCATGACAAAGGTTCCCATTCTCTAGTTCCCGCTATTAGAAATAAAGAGGGTATAACCCCACTTTCAGAAACATGGTTATAATGGAAACAAACACTAATATGAGAAAACCAATTCTATAAGTCTTCTTGCTTTGATTATGAGGACTTCAACCAATTGTTCATAACATGACAATACAGATTTTTTTGATAGGGAACATGCCAATACAGATAGCACATTAAAATTTTGAAACTCAGAGAAAGTACATGGCATGCTTGACTAAAACTTTCTTTCAGATATTCAGTTGTGAACTCGGCAAGCACACATACAGTCAAATCATTTTGATTTACTTTCCTGATGTGCTCGGTCAACACAAATTATAGAAATTGTCGATCCCGAACGATTTCTTCACCAAGTCAAGACCTAAGGGCTTTACAGGGCAATCTCGATGATGGAGGCTAGCAAAGTGAAATTTAAGGACATTGCTCCTTTTGAAAACTAAAGTGAGACAGCTTTGGCATCTGACCGACTACTAATATGGTAAAACCCCCAATTTTAATCCACCCTAATAGAAAGATCTATTGAAAACCTTTCCTTCACTGGAATTCCTTTAATGTAGAAAAGGAAAGATATGTGCTTGTCATCAAGGGACTAGGCTTCTACAGAAGATATCACATAATACTGCAACTGACAGCCCAAGAGAGAGAAAGGGAGCAAATAAGAAAAAGTATAAATACTAACCTGGCAGTTTCCATCGCCTCGAACCTTAAATTCTACCAGCTCATACACCAGTAATCTACAAAAGAGAACATTAATTGAGTTGTAAATATAATATCAATAGATTTTATGCCCCTCTACAGCAATCTCTGTAGTTATTACATTACTCTTTCTTATAGAAAAAGAAAAACCGACAAATGATGATAAGCACTGCCAAGATATCATCTACCCTCAGTCTGTCATTGAGAACAATCAGAATTGCTCCAAGAATTATTAGCTTCGGTGGCATCTTTTTCCAAACCTAAGAGGTCTGTCTAAAGTTTATGTGCTCATTGCCACAAATCTGTTAAGTACTTGCCAAAAATATGATAATATTTCTCCATGTGTTCTTCATGTCAAGAAACAGGATTCCAGTACCTGTCCAGAAGCCTTTGATGATCTAACGTTGTTTTATCGATTGAGGGTATTTCACCATTAATTCTAGGAATATGCTGCAAAATGACGACAAAATTGAGAAAGATTTAACATCCAAGTTGTATTTTGGAAACAAATTAAAGGACCATTCATTCAGGTGTACTAATATAGAAAGTCTCATTACAATAACGATGCATGAATCTGTATGACTAAAAGTGATTTGTATACTCTTTGATTATTAAGTTCACAAACTGCAATACTTTAGGATATATTACCTATGCAACAACATCAACTTGATAAGCATTATTCCTTTTTTTATCATGTGACCGATTTTAAATTTATTAGGAATAATGCTTGCTAACTTCATAAGCATTATTCCTAATAAATTTAAAATCGGTTACATGATGCTTTTTCGCCACCCATCAAATGAAATTCTACACCGATCCTATTACAGGATACAGGTCACAAATTCTAGACATCCAAAAATGAAACCACCTATTCATCCCTCTCTGAAGCAAATTCTCTCTCCTCTCTCGGTTTCTTTGGCTCAAACTCCTCTATGATGAGTCGTAGTCACTGCCTTGGGTCCCATTCATTCAACTGCTCGAGACCGTTCATGGAATATATTTTGTTTGTTCTGTTCAGGATACTATAAATACAACAGTTGCAGAATTTACGAACTATTAATAAAACTCAGCATGACAGGACGAGCAAGTTATCAACTATTACATAGAAATACTAAAGCAACACTAACTCTAACATGAAATCAAAAGCACAGTTTTAGAGTGCAACAGGTGTAACTTACCAAAGAGGAGAAAAAAATGCATCTCATGTACTATTAGCTTTTAAAATGACATGTAATAGCATATTATAATCAAACTTTAAATGTTCTAGGGAACTTGATGAGAAGGGGGACGTTGATCTCCAATGACAATACACTTACGGGAATAGGAACCATCTGGTTCAATTTTTTGCCCAATTCACCATCTAAAGCATTCCCGTCCATTAGGTCCAGTGAATATGACCACTCCTCCCCACAATATGACTCTCCCTCTGGGCTAGAATATGAAGCAGATACTTCTAAATCAGTTGCTTCTTGGCAATTCCCATTTCCTACAAGTTGTAAGGCACATAATCATGATATATGCAAGATGATGATACAATTCAACAAATCAAATTGTCTGGAATTTGTCAGGCTATCAATACCGAAAGTATAAGTTCCCGGTGACTGAGCAAACCAATCCGGAGAATAGAAAGATGTCTGTGAATGGTCTGCACCCTCCTGGAAAGATTTAGATTGTTCTGTGACTGAAAGTCGTAATAGTTCTTCCTGTAGACAGTTTACTGAGAGATCATGGTTTTCTGCGTTGCTGGATTCTGTGCCACAGTTATATTCTTTAAGGTAGTGTCCAGGAAAATAGTCTATATTTTGTTGCAAAATGGAACCACAGCATCCATAATTAGGATATGGATCAGTGTCGAAAAGCTGGAGACCCCACCGAACAACATCAGGATCTTGCTCGTACTTAATCATTAGAATACTAAGGGTCTAAATTGGAGTATTCCTGCCACAAAAAGTACCGAGTCTCGTAGCTGCCAAAGAATGGAGAGAATTATGATATTGGAAAACATTTAACTTGATTGGTTTTGGGAAAAGCATCGTATCTAGCTTCCACCTGATTGAAGAGAAATATTAGGCATTTACCACTGTGCCACATATCAGAAGTTGACCAATGCACTCCAGGCGTATAAGGATGGACATTTTCACATTTTTATTTTTATAACTTTTCCAACTACCAAGGGATGCAATGACATTCATGTGAAAAGTTCAAATCACACAAGGCCAATCAGGAAAGTCATCAAAATTACAGTAACAATAAAATAACCAGTGGAAATAAATTGTTGCCACGTGTTCGAGTTTAAGAGGATGCACAATTCTTTATATATGCATCTATCCACTTTCTACTACTAAATCACTTTTCAATAAAAGAAGGATATTTTTTTCCAGAGAAAATAACTGCAATGAAGCACTACCTACACAAACTTTTATACTAGGTGATTAATGTTAATGTAGGTACATGGAAATCATGGCTGCCAAAAATGTTGAAAAGTCTAGTTAAGTTCAGGAATCATGGTGACGACAATGGTACAAGCATGCACTTAAATTCTTCAATATCTTGATCAAATAAAGGACCTAGAGACGGAATCACAAGAGTAAATCCAAAAACATAAAAAAACCAAAATATGAAAGACGTGTATGGTTTCATTGAAATAGCGAGAGGTTTCACAATAACACAACCGTTCTCAGTTCTGACAATGTTATGGCAATCCACCTTCAGTCTTCTTTCAAAACGAATGATCATGAATTGAACATAGACAGCCTTATTCCACCAATGAAAGGACAGTCACGCCTCCAAGCAACTCACTGGAGAATTCCACGCACGGGTAGGCCCCACCATATGAGCGCGCACACAACCAACAACATTATATAGCATTCCTTTCCTCCAATATTCAAGTCGATATTTGATCATTAAATTTTTAAAAAGTGGCAGTCGAGGGTAACCTAATTATTCTGTTGCTCTCAATAAATTAACTAACTATTCCGTTGCTCTAGATGATTAACTATCTCACACGCATAAATTCTATACAGAATAATGGCCGCATCTAGTAACTTCTTAAAATTAGATTCTAGCAAAACAATTTGGAAGCCCATTAATTCAATACGAATTTGGAAACCCATTAGTTCAATAAGAATTCTTAATTAATCATATGATGGATTATAAGATAATGATCAAGTGTGTAAAATTCAAAAAAAAAAAATACTTTTAACTCCAATTTATGGCTTCCATTTCTAACACATACAATCCTATGGCTGTATGAGCTAAAACCACAGTGTCAAACTTTAAAACGGCCAACCAAAAACGAAACAAATGTTTAACCTGATTAAATAAACAAATCACACGCCATCCAACCACACAAACATTCCACATGTAGGGACATTGGATCAATCTGTTAATCTAACCATGATAGCATCGCCATATAAGAATTGAATCAAGTTTCGTAATGGAAAAGGCAGCAATCAAAACAAGACTAAAATCATCATAAACAAAAGAGACGATTTACTTCATTGATTTTAATTTACCAAAGAATTCAACAACGCAGAACAAAACCTGCCTTGAATTCTCGAATTCCGATCAATATCGAATCACCTATTCTCCACTCCATATCATATCCATTTGATACATAGATAAAAGTAGATAAACAGATAGCGGTGTGTGTATGTATGAAAAATGTAACGCTTTGGTGACGCGACGAATGAAAAATGTGAATGCTGAGAATCCACAGAGGATTATGGGTATTTATTTAAGGGAAAGTAAATTAATTGAACTGGGAATGAAAATTTCGTGAATTACGGGGGGGTGGGTTGGGGTGTCATATCACGAGGAGAGTCACTGTTTCTGTACAATTAAAATGAAAATGAGAGAATGAGAAAGCATATAAGAGAAAACCGACAACGGAATTGGAATCTCACTCTGATTAACATTGCCCAGTGTTTCAGCAGTTGTTGTTCTTGTCAACTGACGGCGATTCCTCTCCGTTTGTCTTTTTCCGTCCACCTTTTTTCGGGGTGCCATGACAGTCAACATACTTCTAATTTCTTTTTCTTTTTCTTTAATCATGTTGAATATATATACACATTTTTTTTTCAATTATTTTATGTTAAACAATGGAGTTTTTTCATTGATAATTCTTTAAAATATATATATATAAATTGCCCATACAAATTTCTTCGTTAAATAAAAAGTAATATTATCTTTTAGTAATCTTATAAAGTAAATATTTTAATAATTTAATTTGTCAACGGAATTTCATAAATAAATAAATAAAGTGATTAAAACGTAAAGTTAAATATTATTGAAGAAAAAAAATTATTCAATAATTATGTAATGTAATAATATAAAATAAAAACAAAAATAAATTATAAATCACAGGAAAAAATATTTAAAAATAGAAATAAAATGAAGAAATAATAAATGTTTCTTCACCGACAATCAACAATCAAAGTACCTTTGATGTCAATAATGGGGGATGGGTGTTTGTCAATTATCAACGACATTATTATCATTGAAAATTTCATCTGTGTTATCAACAATCATTGAATTTCGTCAAGTACAATAAGTGATTTAGCCGATGATCTTTTTCAATGTCGAAGGGCTAGAGGTCTTCCTCCTCATCTTCTCTCAAAGATTTTCATGCTTGCTTTCATGTGTTTTACCCAGGGTCCTTGGCAATTTGGGAATCCAAGTTTTACAAACAGATCGGGTGACTTCTCATTATACAATTATTATGATCATTTTTTTACGAGACAAAATAATTTAAAATATTTAATGTGTCAACATTATAATCGAACTGGTTTAATATTATATGAATATGATATAAATTAGAAAATAATTATATAACATATTTATACTTTAAACATAGGGTTTAATGAAAATTATATCACAACAATAAGTACTTCTAAAACTATGTTTGGTAAAAGTTATTTAATGAAAATTATAAAATCAAATTTTAGTAATTCAGACTACAATTCTATCAAATTTTCCTTTGGTGCAAGTTGTCGGCGTTACACCATGAAATTGTCGGAGTTTGATGATGTGATACAATGACGTCACACTGCCCAATACACTTTCTAATGAAGATTAAAAAGCTAAAACTAAGAGGGCCTTCAAAGTTGTGGATAACTAATATTAAAAATATTTGTAAAGGTTAGCACCATTCCTGATGACGGGATAAAAATTTCTCACTGTTGACGTTACAAAAAATTCGTAGTTATGATTGAACATGTCGATAGTGAAAATTTATTTATCCTGCCTACTATGAACAGAATATCAATTATAAAGGTTGTCATTGGTTTTGATTGGCAAACGGAATTTTAATAGGTCGATTTTAGTTGCAAAAAGTACTACATTAAAATCTTAGTGCCCAATACTTTCTAGCCGTACTTTTTCTTTAAAGTGTATCAATCTATAAAGATGAATATGTGTTCAAGTTTTTATTTTTATAATTTTTTAACGTCAAACGAACCACATTATTAACGATCGCCTTTTGCAAATTGTAGAAGATATAAGGGAAAGGATAAAATCAATCCCTGGTCTATTAAGGCCCTGTTTGGTGGAGATTCTTAAAATTTTATAGTAAATCAATTCTCATTTTCAATCACATATTTTTCAATAAAATAACATTTTTCATCACATTTTTAACCACACATTTCCCATCATATCACTATTCAAAATCAATTATTCCTTCAAAAATTCCTCCCAAACAAACACTAATTATACTTTTTGTCGTTAAAGAAGCTTTGGCGACTGATTTTCAAGAATAGTTGAGAATAGTGCTACAAGCGTGAAAATGAAAGTGGGAAAGACAACAAAAACTTTCGTTTAGCGCAAAGTTCGAATTGAATCCAACGGTCCAAACCCGCGATTTACCCTACATCACCTCCCCGCCATTTCTTCCTCCAACAAACTTCACCTCCTCCCTCTTCTCCCAAATTCCTCATTCGTCAAACTTGTTTATTGTACAGAACTTTTTTTTTTTTTTCAAAATGGAAATACAGGATGATGATAATAATATCAAAATTCACATTAAAATCTTTATATTATTAATCGTGTTGTCATCGGCAACAGTAAGCCATGCAGCCCCTTCCACCAGCACCACCGGAACAGATAACCCAACTGCCGTCCAGCTCGTCACGCAGGCGATGTTTAGCCGTTTCAGCAATTTTTCTGCCTTGTTCAGCGGTGATATTCTTAAAGAATTCGGTTATTGCATTAGCAATGTGTGAGCGCCTATTTCTTCCGATTTCTATTAATTGTGGAGCTTTTGGAGATTGGTTGTGATTTTTGTTCTGTTTTAAGGTTTAATTCGTCCAACTGCAGTTTAGGGTGAATTTGAAGTTGTTAATTTTGTTTTAGGGATGCTGAGTGGGATGCGGCATTTAATTTCTCGAAGAATACAGATTTTTTGTCCGCTTGTATGAAAACGACAAAAGGTATATACGAAGCTCCCTATTTTATATTTTAACCTATTTTATTTTCAAACTTTTAGTCTCATTGGTAGGCTGTAAAACCGTATCAGTGGCAACTGTATTGTTATAGTAAAGTTCATGATCAAAGGAATGTTGGGATGTGGAGAAGAAGTGTGGGAAGCACAAAGGTTTTGCTTCTTGAGGAATTTCTCCAAAATTCGTAGAAACGTATAGGGAACGAAGAATAATCACCATTCCATCACTACTGGCGTTCTTTGTCCTTTAACAATTTATATCTAAAATATTTGAATTTCATCTTTGTTCTGAGATTTGATCAATGTCTCTGGTGGACTGATAGGTGATGTGATGCAACGGATGTGCACAGCAGCGGAAATTAAGTTCTATTCAACTAGTTTGATACAATCTGCTCTAAAAAGTAACGGTGGGGCAAAGAGCAGCAACTACTTGAGACCTAACAAGAACTGTAACTTGACCTCATGGCGTTCTGGTTGTGAACCAGGATGGTCATGTAGTGTAGGAAAGGACAAACAAGTTGACCTTAAAAACGATAAGGACATGCCTCAGAGAAATCTTGATTGTCAACCTTGTTGCGAAGGCTTCTTCTGTCCTCATGGTCTTACCTGCATGATACGTGAGTATTAAGAAAACGATCAAGACTGAAATCTTATAGTTGTACTTGTTTGAATAAGACTATATTCTACTGCCGCCATAGAATCCTTTGTCCTTCTTCAATATATTATGTTGAAAATAATGACATTGACTTCTTCAGAGTGTATTTGAGCTCCATTAAGAATTAGTTTTATAATAGTGATTTTTTAGAGAATGCATGGTTAAAAAGTAAGGAAATTAGATTTCCGTACAACATTATTTTATTGGAAGAATGTATGGTTGAAAATGAATTTTTAGAGAATGAGAGTCCAACAGGGGTCAATATCACCTAAATCGTCATTTTGTAACCTATTTGTGGCTGCTTGTTGCTTAATATGACATGATGTCTGTTCATTCATCTCTAATACCCCCCTCCAACTTGCTGCTTTAGTGCAGATACTTTGTGTGCTAGCTTCCCAAAAGTTTAAGAGCTCCATAAGCTTACTCGCTAAATAATGAAATATAGAAGGGCTTATTTTTGGCATTCTATTGTTCTTACCAAATAAAAAAGTAAATAAATAATTTTGTCATAAAACTAATGTGGAATGTTTCATCACTTGGCTTCCATTTAATTGCTAGTCTTCTCCAATGATATATTTCCTTGTTCATTCTTGAACTTTTTTTACACGGTGGAGCACATGAACTCTAACATTTTTCTCCCTCCTTATCATGAAGCCTGCCCCTTGGGCTCATACTGCCCTCTTGCAAAACTCAACAAAACTACCGGCGTCTGTGATCCGTAAGTTAGATTTTTCCATGAAGTTCACTATTTTACGTAGTATCATGTTTTTTAACTTTTATTTGATATTGATCATCGCGAAAAAATTGCAGGTACCGATATCAACTGCCTCCGGGGCAGACAAACCATACCTGTGGTGGAGCAGATGTGTGGGCTGACATTTTGAGTGGCAACGACATATTCTGTTCAGCAGGATTTTACTGTCCCAGTACCACTCAGAAAATCCCTTGCAGTCGTGGGTATTAATTGTTATTCCAAAACTCTGAGCATGTCTCTCTGGACTACTTTTGTCTTTCAAATTGTTCTTTCTTCTCTGCATGCTTTAGTAATAACATCTGTCATCTCTCTCCTCTTCTTTTCACTTTCGTTCATATTTCCCTTATGTTCAGAGATTTTCTGTTGCATATTTGTTCTACTCACCTACTTTTCATTCCTTTTTTTGGATTTTACAGACACTATTGCAGGACTGGTTCTACAGCTCAAACGAGTAAGTGCCATACTATTGTTTTATACTTGTACAGTTTCCCTGTATGTGAATACCAGTTTCTCTAGTGCTTGAGGGGTAGGGGAAGAACTAAACATTTTCTGTTGACTCACATGGTTTGGGAACTTCAAGTAACATAAGGAAATAAGGTCACTCATACTCCGAAAATTCATGCTTGCTTGTCAGTTGTCAGGCACCTTCTATCTTTAAACTGATCGATCAAATCTTATGTATGGTCTCTTGGGTTCAGATGATCTCTTAGAATTTTAGTCAGGAGGCTTTTTTAGGCCAAGAATCAAGATATAGAATTAACTTGGTACTTGAATGTGAACAAATGACATTTTATTACAATTCCTGACACCTAAAAACATTGGATGGATTTCTTTGCGATTTACTATTTACGCTGTCAAACTAGCAGTTTCTTTCAACTTATTTAATTGAAGTTCAAATAGAAATTAATCTATAGTGCAACCAAACAACACGGACCTTTTGTGTTACTGCTGTGTCCCAAATTGACAACGATATGTTCTTTTATAAGCACTTTTAGTTTTTATTCTTATCTCCCACGTGTGTTTGCACCATGCCATTCATTCTTTCTTCTTTGCCCGTGATATATTGGCTATTTTAGAAAAAATATGTGATATTGTGAATCAATTTGCAGAGTGCTATCAGTTGGCAACTTGTGAACGACAAACTACAAACCAAAATATCACAGCATATGGAATCATGTTTTTTGTAAGTCGTCATCTCCATCTTACATACAGGTTAAATTTTTGCATTTATCGAATCTCCAGATAATTGATGTTGCATATATGTCTTAGTATGTGCCGTATAGACAACCAGTCTTTAACCATCCTCTTCCAATTAATCATTAGGTTGGAATCACTCTCGTACTTCTCATTATATACAACTGTTCTGGCCAAGTTCTCAGTGACAGAGAAAAGAGGCAGGCAAAATCTAGAGAAGCTGCTGCAAGAAGTGCTAGGGAAACAGTACAGGCACGCGAAAGATGGAAATCTGCAAAAGCCACTGCTAAATTGCATGCAAGTGAGCTTCAATCACAACTATCACGAACATTCTCACGAAAAAAATCTGTACGGCATGACCAGCAAAAGAGCTCAGGCCAACCTAAACCTGGATCAGATGCTGCATTGCCACCCATGCCTGGTGGTGCATCTGGGTCAAAAGGTAATAAGCAAAGCAACCTCACAAAAATGATGCAAGATCTTGAAGAGAATCCTGACGGTCATGATGGATTCAATATGGAGATTGGAGACAAGAATTTGAAGAAGCAAATGCCAACAGCCAAGCAATTGCATACTCGCAGCCAAATTTTCAAGTATGCATATGGTCAAATTGAAAAAGAAAAAGCAATGCATGAGCAGAACAAGAACTTGACTTTCTCTGGAGTAATATCAATGGCCTCTGAAAATGAAATCATTAGCAGGCCACCTATTGAGGTTTTCTTTAAGGATCTGACTCTAACTTTGAAAGGCAAAAGGAAGCATTTGCTAAGGTGCATAACAGGGAAATTAGTGCCTGGCCATGTCTCCGCAGTCATGGGTCCATCAGGTGCTGGGAAGACAACATTTCTTTCTGCCTTGACTGGAAAAGCTACAGGTTGCCTCATAACCGGTTCTATTCTCATAAATGGGAAGAATGAACCAATGCAATCCTACAAAAGAATTATTGGGTATGTTCCTCAAGATGATATAGTGCATGGGAACTTGACAGTGGAAGAGAATCTCTGGTTCAGTGCTAGATGCAGGTATGCTGCTATGAATTTATAATGAATGTTACCTGTAGTGTATTTCTTTTAGTAGGCAACTATAATATGTGCTTGGCTGGTATTAGCTATAGGAGTATCTAAAAAATCCTTCCATCCCTTCGCTTCCAACACACTCCAAGAAGCAAGGTTTGATAGAATAAAAATGTCTTCTGTAGGGTTGTGCACTTTTGAAAATTTTCTCCATGATTTTCAATATTTATTTTGATTCTGTTTAAAAGTCACTGTTGAAACATTCATTATCTTGAGTTTAATATTCTCGTGTTAAAAGAGACTATATTTGGTGTACCGTGATCTATGGAAAGATGGATCCTGCAGATTTTATTGATTTTTCAGTGACCATAAAGTATGAGACGCAGCCTGCAAGAAGTGGACATACATGTCCCATATGGAATATTCTGAGGCCAAATATATATTACAAACTAAACCTGATTAACAGTAAATCTCGGTTAAGCACACATTTCTATTATTCTTCCAAGTAGGTTTGTGATTTGAGAATTCTTATGGTATTTAGGAATCATTTTTGGTCGGTTTGTGATTTGAGTATTATTATTTTAGCTCTAGATTTTCTTCTTGGAATTTAAATAGTAATTTAATATTTTCTTCTAGCACTAAGATAATTTTTTGATTTTCCTGTTGCACAAGAATCCTTTTTTGCATTAAATAAATAAAAAGTTGAGTCTTTTCCATTATCTTCCAAATTCTCTATATTCTTTAGGAATCAAGAAGTCCAAATTCTCAGTGTTCTGTTGGAATCAACAAATCTTTGATGCCTATTTTTTAGTATCCATGAGTGAATCTATAAAAAGTGATGCAATGTTCGTGAATTTTGTTGTTCTCATTTTCATACATGCTTCCCTGCATCATTGTAGTTGGATATAATGAGTCTTTTATCAACGGTTCATATATTTCGAGCCTATCTGATGTCTCTTGACCTCATGCATATGGTCTTCACTCAACCTTGATTTTTTCCAACTATAGAATGCTTAACATCCAGATAGGTTCACAGAATCAATTATCTGACGTTAAAGAGTTCAGTCCAAATCTGCACACAACAAATTTAGTAGTTATCTCCCAAACTGAGCCAAGACAAGAGTATTGGACTTGCTTCTTGCTGCTAGGTTATGATTGTATCTTCTAGATTGTTCCTTCATCATATTGATAATGAACCTTATTTTTTACGCTTATCATTGCAGACTCTCAGCTGATCTCCTAAAACCAGAAAAAGTCCTAGTTGTTGAAAGAGTCATTGAGTCATTGGGCTTGCAGGCTGTTAGAGATTCTATAGTAGGAACAGTAGAGAAAAGAGGAATCTCTGGAGGCCAGAGGAAGCGAGTAAATGTTGGGTTGGAAATGGTTATAGAACCTTCTTTGTTGATCTTAGATGAACCTACTTCTGGTCTGGATAGTTCTTCTTCTCAGCTACTCCTTAGAGCCCTTCGCCGTGAAGCTCTTGAAGGAGTAAATATATGCATGGTGCTTCACCAACCAAGGTAATTCTGGCTTTCAAATCTATTCTGTTTTTATCTACCATAGTTGCTTCTCCACCTTTATGGTTACACATTGAACATTCTCTGCAAGTTAATGCATTTCGTCTTTATCCTGCTTTTTCATTGTATAAATATTTTAATAATCAATATTACTTACACGCCATATTCTAATGTCTAATCATAACTTGAAAATTGGATATGCAGAAGCTATATACAAAGAAATTTACATTAGCGCTTAAATTACCTCACTGTCACTTTTAGATGCCAGTTGGTTTACAGACCGATTGATTTTAATACATGTATTTGCCATGTCTCTTCTCAAGTAACTGAATGTTCCCTGCTTCAGCTACACCTTGTTCAAGATGTTTGATGATATAATACTTCTAGCTAAGGGTGGTCATACTGTATATCATGGACCAGTGAAGAAAGTTGAAGAGTACTTTGCTGGCCTTGGGATCAATGTCCCTGAGCGCGTAAATCCTCCAGATCATTTTATTGACATCCTGGAAGGAATTGTGAAACCAAGTGCAAGCTCAGGTGTGAACTATAAGGAGCTTCCTCTGAGATGGATGCTTCATAATGGGTACCCTGTACCACCAGAAATGCTCGATTCTGCCGCAATCGCAGCATCTTCAACTGGAGATTCAGCTCATGGAGCAAGTCCAGCTGCAGCTTCTGGGCCAGGTCAATCTTTTGCTGGAGATCTATGGGAGGACGTCAAATTTACTGTTGAACAGAAGAAAGACATTATACAACTTAATTTCTTAAAGTCAAAGGACTTATCCAATAGACAAACCCCAAGTGTGCTCCAGCAATACAGATATTTTGTTGGACGGTAATTTCGATTATCTTTTGACTTTTATTTGCTATTGTACATGTATTACTCTTTCTTCAATGTGCCAAGCTTAGCACCTTTTTCTGTCAAGGTCCTACTTATATTCTCTAAATTCTCAAGAGGACCATTACGTTTAGCTACAGATTTCCTGACTTTATTTGTTATAACATTTAAATTCTTCAGGTGGTTTTGATTTTTGTTCTTCCAGTAATTGATATCTGACTTTGTGTTATGACAATCATTTTAGAGTTGGGAAGCAACGATTACGAGAAGCTAGAATACAGGCTGTAGATTATCTGATTTTACTATTAGCAGGAATTTGCTTAGGAACAGTTGCCAAAGTGAGTGATGAGACATTCGGATCGATGGGATATCTTTATACTGTAATTGCAGTTTGTAAGTTTTAAACCTCAGCATTTTTACCTTGTATAATTCCTTATGGATTAATTTGTTTGAAATTAGGTAATCATGTTTTCAATGTGATTAACTTCTCCTAAATCTTGACTTGCAGTAATGTCACATATATTGCATGCTGATCTTTCATCATTGGCACTACCACTAGTATGATCATATGATGATGACCTTTTTACATCAATGATGTGTCAGATACAAATATTTGATTTCGTGGATTGTTTCTAAATCAAGAAACCTATATCCACTGCATAAACTTATAGGAAAAATTTCCAGGATAATGTTGTTTATGTAGCACTTTTCAGTCTTTGGACATGCCTAACATACAGGGACAGAAAGGTTCATGACATGTACACTGGTATATGCTGTTACATTTCACGAAGTTTCCGGCAGCAAGTCTTTATAGGCCTTAGCTAATTCGTATGATACCTTTTTGTTATTTGGATCTTTTTGTGTCATAGTCACCTATAATCCTTAAGTAATCAGTTTCACCATCTAATTGCTCCTTAGTAACTGTTTGGTTAACGGTACGCAAGGCCTTACTTGTTTTCCTATTGTCCTGACTTTATGAATCGAATCAATCGATTTATCTTTTAAATAATAAATTTTTAACAGATCAATTGTGTTAATCAAACACAATACTGAAATACTTAAAACATATGCATGGTTTCTTAGACACAAAACAATATCAGTTGTTTTATTTCCTCACAAGCATATGCAGTGCCTTCATAGTGTAAATTTCATGAAGAATGGACTAGAGTGAAAGGAGAGATTAAATGCTTGTTCCACCTACGTATCCCCGAGGATTTCTATATTCACAAAGAGATGAGATGAAACGTTTGTGAAAGAAAAAGAAATTAAAATGAAGGTCTATTGGAAATATTTACATTGCCATTGTAATGATTGTTAAGTGGGTCCATTCCTATGATACTGAATATTGACTACTTTTTCAGCTCTTCTCTGCAAAATTGCTGCTTTGAGAACGTTTTCTCTGGACAAGTTGCACTACTGGAGAGAGAGCGCTTCTGGCATGAGCAGCTTGGCATACTTTCTCGCAAAGGACACAGTTGATCATTTCAATACAATTGTAAAACCCGCACTTTATCTATCGATGTTCTATTTCTTCAACAATCCACGGTCTAGCATTTTTGATAATTACTTCGTCCTGATTTGTCTCGTATACTGTGTTACCGGCATAGCTTATATTCTTGCCATCTACTTTGAACCTGGTCAAGCCCAACTGGTGCGCATCATGAACTTCGCTTCCTTGAGATTATTGTTGAACACATCACATTATGTATTACTTGGCCTTCTAATCTGTTTTCGGCTCCTGCAGTGGTCAGTCCTGCTTCCTGTTGTTTTGACTCTCATTGCAAACCAAGATGGAGATAAATTTTTAATGAATCTCGGAAACTTCTGCTACACTAAGTGGGCTTTGGAAGCATTTCTGATAGCAAATGCTAAAAGGTTGGATTCTACTTCTTTCATTTGGAACTTCTTATGTGTTCTTTCTTTAAAAATGTTTGTCATAGTATCAAATTTGACCTACCAGAAAATTCCTTCAATATCTTGAATACATTGGCAAGATTAATACTAGTTCTTCATGGACATGGATGCTCAATTATTATAAATGGCAGATATCTTCATAATGTATTGCACAGTTTGGAATTTATTGAGTTGACTACGTCCAACGACACCATTGAAGTTGTTTGGATATACAAAATACAATGCATAGTTATAAAACTTGGCTCGGCCGGTCGGACCAAAAATCTGGCGACCTGGGCCCTAAACTGGGCCGGGTAGATTAATTTGATAGAAGTGGTAATTACATAAAATAGTACTTTAAGTTTTTAAATTTCCAAAATCAGATTGGAAGTTTAATATTTCCAAAATCAGATATTTTATAATAGATACAATTTTTTTATATTTAATTAAATATATTAAACTTCCAAAATCATATTGGAAGTTTAATATTTTCAAAATCATATGTTTTTATTAATTAATATATTATTACTAAATAAAACATATGATTAAACAATCCTCTCTAAACTCTCCTAAACCCGTCTCTCTCTAAATCTCCTCTCGCCGACCGAAGTCGTGGACTCGCCAGCGAAACCCATCTCTCTCTTAACACTCTACCCACCGCCGTCGATCCTCCACCCACAAACTTCAGCGTCGAACGGCGGCGCAAGGCCGCGACGCTGCTGCCGGCGTCGCAACAGCGTCGCGCTGCAAATTAAGGCAGCATCTAAGGGCGACGCTGCCCTAATTCGATTGCAGCAGCGTCGCCCTAATTTGCAGTCGGCATCCTTCTCTCTCTACCGTCGCGGTGCAATTTTCCCTCTCTCTTTTTCACACAACAGTCGACATCCCTCTCTCTCTACCCATCCCTGTGTAGCGGTGCTGCATCGTCGATCTGCTCCTCTTGCAACGCCGAGTTTGATTGCTGTGACACAGCTATGCGCAGAGATGTGATGGCCTCTGAACGTTTGCAGCGCAGCGATGGGGTGTTGTGATTTTTGGTACAGGATTAATTAGGGTTTGAATGCTTCTAGCATCGTGCAGTCGTGGTGGGGACATCGAATTTGGGGATTTTTTGATGAATGTGATGGTTGTGGTGTAATGGAGATGGTGGTCCTAATTTTTGGTGCAGCGATGGTGACTTTCCTTCGCGCACAGCAGTTTTTTTTTAAATTTTTGGTGCTTCGGTTGGGTGTTGTGTACGGTGATTGGGTAATGTGCTATGTCCGGTGATGGAGTTGTCACGATGGTTGGGTGACGTGTGGTTGGGCGTGGGTGCTGTGTGGGATGTAGTGGTGACGGTGGTTGGTGTGTGCAGTGTGGTGGTGGTGGTGGTGGTAGTCCTCTGGATTATCTGTGACCTTAAAATTCTACAATTTGTGACTAAAAATTAATCCATGACCTTAAAATTCGACAATTTGTCACTAAAAATTAATCTGTGACATGTAATTTTTTAATCCGTGACCAATAACATAATCTGTGACCTTTAAAATTATTGATTTGTGACCATGAAATAATCTGTGACCTCCAAAAATTTTGATCTGTGACCGATATACAAATTCTGACCTATAAAAGTTTTGGAGTATGACCTGAGTTGTGACTTGTGAATTGGACTGTGACCTAGGCTGTGACTCGTGACCTGAGTCGTAGGAAACGGAGCAGTTGTCGAAAACGATCACCGGAATCGGAGCAGTATTCGGAACGGTCGCCGGAATAGTCACCGGGGCGGTCGCTGGAATTGGAGTAGTTGCCGGAACGATCATCAGAAGTTCACCGGAGTAGGGCGGTGATCGGAACAGTCGTCGAAGCGGTAGTGATGGTGAAGGTAGGATGGGTTAATTATATTATATTATAATTAAATATTTAATAATAAATTAATTTATTTCATAAATAAAAATTTAAAAATTTTTAATAAAAATCTGATTTTGGAAATTTCAAACTTGTTTTCTTATTTTTGAAATAGGTTACACTTATTCTCTTAAATATGTAATCTTTCCTTGATAGAAATATAATTGACTCGGTCAAAACTGGGCTTTGATCGAGTTAACCGCTCTAGTTGACCAGTTTGATTGGATTTTGGAATCCTCTTTCAAAAATTTTGGGTCCAAGGAAATTGAAGTTTGGACTAAAGAAAATATGGGATCCTCACCATTGGAACACAAGGTGTTTTCGTATTATTTATGTACAATAACTCATATCTATCTAATGAATTATTTATAGGTTTTCTAAAAAAAAAAATGTTTTAAAAAACTTTGGTCCAACCTTTTACTTTATTTTATAAGCCTAAATAATTAGTGAAAAATAACTTAAAAAGTTTAATTTTGCCTAAAAAATTTTTATACTTTATATTTTTTTTTGTAAATTTTTATGCAATTATCCACCGATTCAACCACCAACCCATCGATTCAACCAGTAACCCAAGACCCAATACCGTGTCCTGGTTGAGTCTAATAACTATGGCAATATGACAATGTTGAACAAACAAAGCTTGTTATATTTGAATTTTTTCTAGACTGCAAAATATACATGTAGAACAGGAATTTCCACACTTCTTCCCCCAGTTACTACCTTTTGTTTTATTTTAAGAAAATCTAGTGACAATTAATGCATCAGAGCTCTATTGAGAGAGGGTTTTGTCTCATATATACATATCAATGTTGACTCATATTAAGCGAATATCTTTTAGTTAATAATTTGGTCTTGTTTCACTTGCAGGTATTCGGGGGTGTGGCTTATTACAAGATGTGGTTCTTTAAAACAAAGAGGCTATCAGCTAACCGATTGGTATCCTTGTTTAGCATACATGGTAGCCACCGGCGTACTCAGTCGCGCATTTGCATATTTTTGTTTAGTTACCTTCCAGAAAAAGTAAATCAAGTCTGTAATCACTTGTGTAAATCACTTGTGTATATTTAGCGATTTTTCTCCTTATATTGTATCCAAAAAAATAGAAAGAGTAAGAAAATATTGCAACATGCTCCTTTTGGAAGAGAAGTGATGAAATGTTCTAGCTAGATTCACAGTTATTGCTAACAAAACAGAGTCTTGGTTACTATTCATGTGTGAATCTACGTGAAAACTGACATATGGTAAAAGGGCATGAGGGAAAGAAAGTTCTTGTTTGTGGGCATATTGACCATAAAAACAAGGGTGAAAAACTCTGTTGTCCTAACTTTTAAGACGTGTCATTTTAGTCACTGAACTTATTTTTTAGCATAGATAACCACTGAACTTGTAAAGTTGTTTCAGTTAAGTCAATCCTTATGGATCCGTTAGTAAATTTTGTAGTTTTGTTGAGTTTTCTAACGATTTTGCTTATGACGCTCACGGTTTTAGTGAGATGGCATTAATAAATTAAAAACGCTTGTTCCCTACAAATTCTAGTTTTGCAAATCCATTTAAACGTTTGGCCGCTATTTTTCAAAACTAATTTTCAATCACACATTCTCTCATAAAATAATTTTATATACAAATCTAAAACTTTTCTTTATTTTCTAATCATATATTTTTTATGCATTTAATTGATCTAAAAATAGGCTTCAAATAGGGGTTAAAAGTTAGTTGACTTTTTGTCATATTTTCATTTTGGGTTGCCACACGAGTCTTGCTGTCGAAGACATTTCCAAATTAGTTGGGTAAGCTTCAACAAATTCTAAGTTATCTTAATTAGGTCACTAAACTTCAACTCTCCGTCAAATTTCGTGACTTATCATCTCCCAAACTAACGAAAATTACATAGTTGACAGTCATACCAAAATTGACCTTCGCACCATAGTAACGAAATTTGTAAAATGAGGGTTATGACAATGTCTTCACATTGAAAAGATTTAAAGTCGTGCCTTTTGTTTTAACAATTTTATGACGAAGCATAGTGGTAAGGTGTCATGCAACACAATGATTGTGTGGAACATCAATCGTGGTATAACTATCAATTAAAAGTAATTTTCATAAATTTGAGAGTCAATCAGCAAAAAAAGTGGTATATTTTGAAAGTAAATTAAAATTCAGTGATCCTATTGAAACTAAATTGAAGTTCAATGATTCAATTGAGACAAATTAAAATTTAGCGATCCAAGAAAAAAAAGGTACTTAGCCGTGTGTGAACTCATGCAAATGATGTATAAAATGATCTCCCAACTATATAATTAACATGTTTCCTGTAAATCTATGATCGGTTGATTATGAAAATTCACAGGAGATTTTTTGAAAATGTTGTGAATCAATATAGGAGTAAATTATATTTCAATCTAAATCAGCTTGAGGAAATTTCCTGATGAGTTTTTGAATTTATTTTAAATGTGTTCTTTTATAAATGTGGTTACGTAACTTAAAATTATCTTACAGCTTGTTTAAAAGTAAAACAATTTTCTCTCCGTTTCTCTCTTTTTCTCACTTTGCATCAACTAAAATGATTTTAGAGGATTTAAATCTAGTAGTCTTTTTAATAAGGTTATATTTGACATTGAGCACTTCTATAAGTAAATAAAAGACTTTCTTGACTAGAATTTAAAAAATAAGGTACTTTTTTGGGAAGAATAAATACATAAATCATACCTTAATTATACCAAAATTCAATTTTAAAAGAAAATGTTTAAAAGTTTAAAACTCGGACGACAAATAATGTATATTATATATCTAATAAATATTCATTATAATATCTGGACCAACTCCAATCTCTTCCTCCCCAGACTTGCCCCAACTGTAGTCTCTGGCATCCATTCGCTATCTTCCCCTCTTACATAACAGTGGTAGTACAGAGATAGATAAAAGGCGCCCGATTCATGATCCTTGAGTACAACATCTCAAATGTAGCTGCTTGTTTGGATTTTTAATTTAGCAAAACATCAGCGAGAATTGACGGATTATCTAATTGAATTTCAATTTAGACAATCGACTAGCGTCAGAATGATTGAAGGAATGAGGTTTTGGCGGTGTGATTTAAACTACCGTAGAGAATTGGTCCATTGTGGGAGTGTAAAATGATTCAGATGTTTGATTTATCATCATATTCAGGGTAAATTTGTAAATTTTTGGCGTGTGATTTAAATTACAGTTAAATTGTTACATGCGATGTTGATCCAATGGCCTATGACCAGTTTTCTTAGATCTGTGACCCTTGGACATTGATTTGTCACATGTGATATTGATCCAATGACATGTGACATGTAGACATTGATATATTACTTATGCAAAATGACATGTGACCTGTAATATACGAACTGTGATCTATAACTTGAATCTGTGACATGTTATTAGTGCACAAAGACATGTAACCAGATAATATTGATATGTGACATGTTGACACTGATCTGTGATCCATACAATATGACTAGTGACTTGTGAATAGTAACATTTGAATTGTAACATGTGAACTATAACTTATGACTTGTGAATATAAATAAGTGATGTGTGACCAATTTTATTCGATTTGTGATCTATAGATATTGATATGTGACTTATACACAATGACCTATAACAAGTGCACAAAGACATGTGACATATTATCAATGCATAAAGACGTGTAACATATGATTTGTGACTAGTTAATTTTGATCTATGACTTGTTGACATTGATATGTGAATTATTCAATATGAGTTGTGATCAGTGTGACTTGTGAATATAAATCAGTGATCTGTGACCAATTTTATTTGATCTGTGACATGTGGACATTAATTTGTGACATATGCACAATGGCATATGAACAGTAACTACTACCCGTATTATTACTATTATTTTCATTAAGACCCTTCAAATCCAATTGAACCACAGCAAATCTCAGAAGTTTCTCTCTCTTCATAAACCCGCAATTATAAATATCCTCTCCCCCTGAATGTCTCAATTTTCAGAAAGGGTAATTTCCCCAACAGTATTTTTGAATTTTTCTGCTAATTCTTCCATATCTAGTTTGTTCAAGCTGAAACAAGCATGTATTTCTCTCTTAACATAATCACTTTCTTGAACTAGCAATGGGATATTTAAAACCTGAGTAGGAAA